AATCTGTGATGAACATCATTCATAAACCCTTTACCTTGTTGTTATTCACTAGGTTCTAACTCACTGTATTGTTTATGTATGTAGGTGATCAGGAGCGTGACCATGCTTAAAGGCTTCTGCCTGGACTTTGTTTTGTCAGCCAACATATGTGTCTCCCGTGGGGGTTCTAGATATGTCAAGTGGTCATGGCTATACAATTAAAGTTCGAGTTTTTGTCTATTCTGTAATTAGGAGTTAGTCCTTTTTTGTCTTATCTATATAAATGGGATATCGTAAAGGTGATGTATGATATATGTATATAAAGTTTTAAATTTTTCTGTCCCATTTATGTTTCCATTTATGTTTGCACAACTCAATGGACATTGTATACTTGTTATTTGCTTCCACTAGCCCCTAATTATTTGATTTTTTATTTAGAGGCCTTTGGTACTCTACGGATTACTGGCCAGTTACGATACTAAACCTATAGGAGACTGGTTTGGATCGTGACATAAGCGGACCAAGAATGTTTGCATAATTACGAAAATAACTGTTTCATAATTAACCAAGAATGTTCGTCTATTTAAGAAAAACCTGTTACATAATTGACCAAGAATGTTTGTGTAATTACGAAAAAACATTCACTCAACATATAAGCCATCATTAGTAAATTATTCAAAACAAAAGGACAAAATCGGAAAGAAAAGACGAACCTCAAGCAACTAAGCGGTTCTTATATATATAGATATATATGGATGGGTAGTTTGGTCATTTTGTACAAGCATGTACTTATGGACATAACAATTTTGCGCTTGGACCTTTGGACAAAAGAAATTTAGATTTAGACTGTTGGACAAAGCATCCGAAAAAATTTGGAGAAATTACTTAAAATAAATCTCAAAGTTTGATCCTCGTAACAAAATAAATATTGAGTTTTTAATTTTGTCAATTTTGGATTGAAAACAAATCAAAAGTTTAGAGTTCAAATTGACAAAATTAAAAACTCAAGGTTTATTTTGTTATACGAGCCAAACTGTAGAGTTTTTCTATAATTTCTCCCCAAAAAAATTGTTGGGCAACTTTTGTTACCTCAAATCATCTAAATTCAATAAAAATAGATGTGGGTGTATTGTAATAAAACTATCTCTAAACAATTATCTAAATAATTTTTATTGAAAAAATGATGATATATTGTTTAATGTTTGAGTAGGATTTTATTTTTTTTAGCTAGGAAATGCTCTAGGGCTACAATAAAGCACCAGAGCTCAACAATGCTAGAAGATGGGAAAGGGGATTCCTAACACAATCTAAAGGAAGAGAACCTTTGAGCATAGAAGAGGCGAGCCAATGGGCAACACGATTTGCATTTTTTGGGAACCCAAGAGAATGATAAAGACCTAGTGGTGCGCCAATGGCGAATGTCGTGAATAATGTTGGAACAATCTTTTGTGTAAAACAAAAAAGTTAAAACCAAATCAAACAAATAACATAAATTACTTACAAATTTATTTACCGAACCGAATAAATATTTAAAAGATTAAGTCGAGTGTGTGACACTTTTTCCTTAAGACATATTCGCTCCGCTACGATGCTTACGGATAAATGTCGTCTATCTCCCAGGATACAATGATCTTCACAGATTGTAGTAGCACTCCAAATAATTTGTACGGCGAACCAAACCTATGTTCTATACTCTCAAATATTTCCCTAAAAAACTAGTATGAAGAAAAAGGCAAACAAAGAGCAAAAATGGGAAGAGAAGAATTTCTCTAGATAGTTTTTTCGGATCATACAATTGTTGAAACAGCCTGGTATTTATAGACTCGAATAGGACTGAATTTCAAACCGAACAGATGCAGTTCAAATTTTGAATAGATAACTGCAACAGTTTCATATCTATTCATAATTGCTGGGTAGTTTTAAACTTGTTCGAAACTGCTGGACTGTTTTTCAATCTGTTGAACAGTTTGAACCTGTTGAACCTGCTGAAAAATGGACTGAAAAAGGGCATTGTTTGGACAAAAAAAAATTGGCACAAAATTTAAATTAATTTTTCTTCAAGAATTTTTGGAAAAAATTCAAATAAATTTTGTCAAAAAAATTAATATTAGAACCAACCTGACCCAAACCCACACCTGATACGGCTCGGCTCGCCCGGACGGACGGACAGTGGCGCTGTGTGTGCGTGTGTGGTGTTTTGAGCCAAGGTTCACTTTGTCCATAACTCCTTCCTTGTACAAACTTGGGGTGCCCCCTTGGGGCCCAATCCAAGTATTGCCGACTAAAACTTATATACACACATAAGTTTCTAATATGGGATAACCATTTCAAGGAAACCTACATTTATTTCTTTAATTTGTCCATTTCACGAACCCGAAAATGACATTAACTTCTCATTCACTCATAAAATGGTTTTGACGAACTGTTTTCACCGAGTGATTTGCCACACGATAAGGAACACGTCACTTTTTTGGACCCACCTCAAAAGATATATGGGCCCTATCCAAATTTAGGCTTACAGTTAGTCCAAAATAAACCTATAAAACCATATTTTTCCAACAATCCCCCACATGAATAGAATTTGACGGAGAGAAAATGCAACAACATGATCTAATTACAGAGAGGACAGAAATTGGAAATATTCTGCAAAGGATAAATAACTTTTGGCTTTGAACCTTCCCTTCTGAGACACTATCGGATTTACTAGCTAACCAGTGAACATGATGTCCTAAACTGTTTAGCCATTTGTGTAAACCAAGACAATAAAACTCACATAGTATATTACCAAACACAGTTTAGTTCTCACTATTGTATTCATTTTGGCATTGAACAACTTGGTCTTTCATGAGTGCTCTAGAGAATTGTAGCCCTTCACAAATCTTATAGAACCAGCCCAGTTTACACTCATATAGGTGATTCTTATGAAGAGTATCCTGACATACTCCATTAGGTATTTCTAGATATAAGAATCATTAAAAGTTTTACTTAACCTAAAACCTTGCAGACATGACTATTTCATCATAGAAATGGGTAGGAGTTTGACTCTCTAGTGATCATTTTGAGTCATACACAACTCGGTTGTCCCTTTGAACTAAGATCTTGGAATCTCCAGTCAATTAGGTTGGGTTGCCGTTGTGGTAATTCTTATTTAATAAGCTTAAGGGTAAAAGGGGTGACCCCAAAGGGGGTCCGGATCTTTTTCCGGCAAAATATAATAACATTTGGTTGCAAAATTGAGATTTTAATAATTATCATAGAATTGGAATCTCACTTCTCACGAAGTGGTTTCGAGAAGCCAATGTCCGCGACTTCGGCAAAATGAACTTCCAATTGGTGCACTTGTGGTAGAAGTCCTTTTAAAAAATCTCACCAAACAAATATATATATTTTGTGGAAGGAGTTCTTATTTCGCCAAATATTTTGAAATAAGTTATATATATATATATATATATTTATGTTGATATGTTAAGAGTTGCTAGCGAGAGGACTTAGCCTCTGCCTTTTTCTTTTTATTTTAATGTATCGAGAAAAGTCATTTTTTTAGTTTATTTTTTTTGTTTTTATGTATAAAAAAAAAGTCTTTTTTAATTTATTTTTTTTGTTTTTAATGATTTTTTTAAAATTACGTCCAAAAAAATCCAAAACTAATAAATAAAAAAGCTAAAAACTTCACTATTTTTGTTTATTTTCATTTTTTTGGAATCTTTTAAATTTTTAAAAATTTTCTTGTTCGCCTTGTCAAGTAGAATCTAGATTTCTAAATTTTTGAATTTTTTTTCTGAAGTTAACTAAAAACGAAAATAATCCAACAAAAATGTCACAAAAAAAGCAAATCTTTAGGGGTGGTTTGGCAAATCTTGTATTTTAACTAAAAAGTCATTAAAAATATGAAGAACTAATAAAATTCTAACTCATACAAAAAAAGTTAAAAAATTCTTTCTCATTCACTCTATTTTTTTACATTTTTTTCATAAAAAATCAAAAAATATTTTTAAACATATTATTAATTTTTTCACCTCATGTTTTAATAAATAAAAGTTACTAAAAAACAATTTTCCAGACGAGCTCTTACTTCACCGCTAAAACTAACTATTCAATATTACGGGTGTTTCCAATAAAAAAATAAAAAAATAAAAAATAAAAAAAGGATTGTTTTAGTTTTAAAGTCAATCAAGAATTAAATCAATTTGTTATTGGTTAAAAAAATTTAAAAGTGTAACTAAATTGTTAAATTTATGTAATTGGACTAAAATTGAATCATAAAATTCGATTCGATTCTAAGTTTTAAAATTTTTATATAACACGAAATATGGTATATACTTTATATGGTAAATTACAAACACTTCTTGAACTTTGTTTAAAATACAGATTACTCCTTGTGTTTTGTGAAATTACAAATATCCCATTGTTAAAATTTTCTATTTAACATAATTAACAGAAAAAATAAAATATATAATTATTCTCCTATACAAAAATAAAATTATTTGAATTGCTAATTGAAATATATAGAAGTAACTACACTCCTATATATCATTAAAAATTATTAATTGACTTGATAATTTATTAATAAAATGGGTTATTTGTTATGCAATTATGAACTTGAAAAGGCCAAATATAATTTTTAAAATCACAAGGGACAATTCATATTTTAAATAAATGTCAGAGAGTATATTTGTAATTTATCCCTATCATTTTTTTCTCCCTCATTTCAACTATAATGTTGTTAGTATTTTTTTTTAGATATAATTTTTGAGTTTACACTCTAAAATTTGATCCTTTCTATATGTACAGAAGCAAAACATGATCACGTAACACTTAAAATAGATTCATTATATTTTTTGTATTTTAGTTATATTTAATTTTCATTTCCCAAAAAAATATACACATTATTTATTACAAAGTTGAAGATACACATTTGTAATGAATTATACATTTACCCCAAAAAAAAAAAATGAACAATAAACATAATTTTAGCCTCTTAGTTTCTCGCAAATTTTGGAGCTAACTATTAAAATTCAAAATCAAGAGTTCTTCAAAGCTGACAAAGCATCCTTTGTCGTGGCAGATATAACAGCATCTGAAGCATTTTGACAAATAGTAATATTTTCCTAAAAAACGAAGTTTTGCAGAAAAATAGTTAGACATGAGAAACTCGTAATAGAACATCAAAGGGCATTCCAAGCAATCAAACCTTGAGCAACTCTTGCAATCTCTTTGGCAAAGCCTGTGGAGACGAACTTATTTTCCGTGTCAATGACAAGAAGAGACATCCCTGCTTTGTATATTTTCCCAGCAACTTCAACCATCTCATCCTTCAAAAGACAATACAACCGAAATAAAAAAAATAACGCTCAATTAGTACACCTTAATGTGTGTTTGGGAGGGAAAAGATCCATTAATTATCGTGACATTCACACTTCAAATTTTTACCCTATTTCTTTGATGGTGAAATTTATTTGAAAAGGCATGTAATACCATCTGATTGTGATAATATTTAGCATTTAGCATTTGTACCTGAAGAAGCCTGCATATTATCAAGTCCTGCAATACTGTGATTGTGCTGCCTTTTTATTTTTTATTTTTATTTCTTGATGCATAAATTTACCTTCAATTCTTGAGTAGAAGGTCTAGGAGCATCAAAAGCAGCAGTAGCTTCAGGATCAGTGGATCTTTTCAATGATGTTTTGGCTCGACCATCAGTTATTGCAACAATCATTATGTGTCGAACATCACCACTTTTCTCCGCATTTAGCCCAACCCTGACAACCTAACGCTGTGTTTGGTTAGGAGATTAGGGGAGAGATTTGGAAAGGGAAAGGGAAAGGAAAAAGGCGTGTGAAACTAGGTGAAATATAAGCATGTTTTATTCACATTTCACCTACTTTTTTCATTTCCCTTTCTAAATCTCTCAACCAAACACAGCATAAGGAGTTCAGGTTCATACAAATGTTAGAGACAATGTCAACAATCATAGTTACAAATTTCAGGTTTGTTTGTTTAAGAGCTGAGAATCATGATGCAAATGGAAGTGGTTCAAATAGAAATCCAACAAAGTAAAGGAGAGGAAAGAAACCAATGCATGCATACTAAAAACTAGAAAACAATTATTATTTTCAAATAGCTCAGGCAAAGATATACATATCTTCATGAAATACATGAATCAAATATTACACAACAGATCAGTCAATACAAATTAAAAAACTCTCACGTATTTCAGGTAATTTATATGCTTCTGACATTTTTAGCCAAGACCCTAGCAATTATAAGATTTAGATGAACTTGCATACCGTGGTACGACCGTGAGCTAGGGGGGAACCTCCTCCACAAGGAAGTCTCTCAAGACATTTTCTTGCCATTGCAATTGACTTGGAAGGTGGCAATAGAACTTCTGCTGAATCTCCACGAAAAGGAATGATCGAAACCTATTTTAGGTTAATAGTAAACTAAATCAGATAGGTAGTCACAAAGGAATAAAAGACTTAACAAAAATTAATAAATGTGACCTTAAACAGTATATTTAAAAACAATACTCAGTGACTATTATAATAAAATAAGCTTAACAGAAATGAAAGTGACAAATGAGTAATATGTGGGCTTGGACAAAAGGCCTGCAAATCATGTCTTCCGTTTCCAACAATGAAACTTCCACCATATGATCTTTTCAATAGAAAGAGGCATGCTCCAGGTCATCAGCATATGATCAAGAATGACTTATACAAATTTTGACAATTTCGACAAATGAGCAGTACAAATGGGATTTCATTTAAACCCATCTTCAGAATAAACAAGCATGGCAATTGCACCTCAAGACCATTGTTTGTCATAAGAAATAACCTCTTATGTGAGACATTCATGCATAATTCCTCCATAAGCTTATCATTTAACTGGAATGCTGAAAACAGAATGCAATTGGGAGGAAAAATGAAAAGGATTGGAGTACTATACCGAAATTTAAATTTACCATTGAATTAAATATAGAAGTAACCAGAGAAATAGTAAAACGATATTTTCAGCTTGAACAGTCAATGTTATTAATGTCTTTAAACGCACCTGATCCCTGCTTGTATAATTGTCTGCCAGTAATTTAAGAGCAGTGCCTTTTGCATTCTGCATACGGTTCAATGCCATGCTTCTACTAGCGTCGACCACAAATATTACCTGCCATGGAAAAAATCCCAGAAATAAAATTAATCCTAAAGTTCACTAGTTGTTTTCTCACAACTCGGACACAAGTCCTGTGAGCCCACCAATATCCCCAAGTTAAACTGTTAAACTGGACATTCTAGGGTGAACCCCTCTGAAGTTGGATCAGAGGTATCCATGATCAACCCAAGTTAAACTGGATATTCTAGGGGGAAATCAACCATCAACAAAAGCAGTTTCAGGGTTTTGGAAAAAATTTAAAGCGATTGCACTCCATCTACTAATTACCACACCTCTCAGACGGTTTTCGGATAAGCAAGTGACTACACGCTAAACAGAAAAATCAAAAAGTCTTTCCTAGTGTGGCAATTAGTAGCAAATCCCATAGCTTCTTTTTTTTTTTTTAAAAAAAAAAAAAAATTGTTAAAAAGATTTAAAAAAAATCCATCTAAGATCTACTACAGGGAAAAAAAAATACAAAATAGAATTGTGAAAACACTCCACAAATTTGATAACATAATGAACAGGAAAATTTGAAAAAGAAATTTGAGTACTATGGTACCAGTGCTCCTGCTTTTCGTGCCATTCTTTTAGCCCTCTTGTCCATTTTCTCTACATACACTTTCCTATTCTTTTGAGTATCCTTCTCCCTTCGCAACTTCTGATATGGTGTAGCTGCCCTAAGAGTTGCATCAACAGCTAATCTCTTTACAGGACCCTGATTAAGATTGTGCAACTTGGTCAGGACAGAGAAAGTGCGGAAATAAACTTTTACAAAGAAAACACAGTTCTAGATTCTTGAAATTCTCAAAAAAATCCATCAATTAACTTAACAGATTCAAGAATGGCCAACTGAGAATGAAACCATGCATTTCTTTTAATTTCTATGCTATTTCTTTCGGTTTTTGAAAGTATCAGCAAAACACAAGTTCAGAAAGGGCAGACGATTCATATCAAAGATTTTCTCTTCTTTTTTTCCCCTCTAAATTTCCATTTTCTTCTCTAACGTTGAGAGAAGCGAAGATGGGGAACTTACCTTCGGAAGCATTGGTTTAATATATCAGCCTCTATCCTCTGAAAATATAACATTCTTTGCCCTCCCAGCCTTTCCTCGGCATCTCTGGGCTTGTTGTGCAAAGAAGAGAAGTTTCTCATCCACCAGACCCCCTTCTGCATTAAAGATAAACTCCTCAGGTAGTTGATCCTGTTGTTGCTCATTCTCTTCATCATTTTCATCCTGCTTACAAAGTGAACCTTCCATAATAAGCTCACAAGATTCACCAGAGAATTTTTTTTTTAATAGAAGATGACAGCTAAGAAACCAATCAAGGAGTATGACAAGAGGAAGTTGATAAGTTTTGAGCAATCAATAAACCTCTTGATCTTCCTCTTCATTCTGCTCCTCAGCAGAATCTTGATTTTGTTGAGGGGGCAGTGGAGGTGGGGGCTGCTGGTTTTGCTGTTCAGGGGGATTTTTATTGACGATTGAACGAGGAAGGATAACAAGTTCAACTTGTATCAAATAAAATTTTCAGAAGAGGAATATTATGTTTGACTGCTCAAAAGAAGCCATTTATGATTTTTAAGTCTCAAACTAAACTCATTACAACAAAAATACAAGTACTATCTTTGAATCAATGAACGGTAGATAACTCATTGAAAGAGCTGTAGAAGTTCACCAGTATTAAAAAGAGCTTTTGTTCATTTTATGGATATGCTTGGAGATTATTCCATTTTGGGAACTCATAGCACACTCCCATAAAAAGGTTAATAAACTTGGGATTTCAGCTTCAAAATTTCTGTGGACAAATTCCATTTACAGTGTTACAGATGACCAAATTTAACCAGAGGTTCAACTTCAAACTTTGCATCATGTCCACTAAAATGCATTGCTGTTGAAAGAAATCACATCTACTTCAATTTGTTTATCATCATAATGATAAGATGACATGGGAGATTTACTGGCCGAAACAAGTTTTGGACAAATCTAAAGGATTGAAGGAATTACACCTATTTAACCTAAAAAATCTAGAAATCTCCTAGATATTGATTTGTGATTATATATCAATTTTAACCAGTAAATAACAATCCTAATAAAACAATCAAGATAAATCGACACAATGATTTTAACGTGAAAAAATCAGAATTGGAGCATCTCCAATTGTGATAAAAAAAACCATGGGCAAAAGCCACAGAACAATCCACTAAGAAGACATAAGGAAATTACACAAGTGTACTCTCAATTACCTAGCGAATATACGCCCGCGTCGAACAAACCCCAATGTGCCTCTTCTACCACCGTCTTCACCTCAGAATTGTCTTGCCCAACGTTGAATTTACAACACTAATGTCGAATCCACGACGATGAGCCACTCCGGAATCCACCAAAGCTTCAGGCCCAAATTCCACGGAATCTACCGAAGAACAACTCTCTCTTTTCCAATAAAATAAAATAAACAAACCCTTTGATATAATCCACTCAATTCATGATTAAACTCTCACAGATATCAAACGAAACAAGCAAAGAAACTCCAGATAAAAACACTAATACTCAAGAAGAAGATCTGGAAGCTATACCCTAAAATCGGATTGAAACACATATTTATAGAAAACAGATCTACGATCTCCGCTCGAGCACAAGAATGGGCGCTCGAGCGGATCTATGCTCGAGCGCAGGAATTGCCGCTTGAGTGGAAAAAACAACTCCTAGTACTTTTGCAGGCAAGTGAAATTTCTGAAAGGTTGCAATCTCCGCTCGAGTGCGCAAGAATGGACACTTGAGCGCAAGAATGGCCGCTCGAGCGGAAAAAAACAACTCCCAATACTTTTGCAGGCAAGTGAAATTTCTGAAAGGTCGCGATCTCCGCTCGAGCGAACAAACAACTTCTATTGCAATTTTACTTTTTGCTTCAGGGACGCTACCTCTCGACCCCGCTCGAGCGCAGGAATGGCTGCTCGAGTAGAAAAAAACAACTTCCAGTACTTTTCCAGGCGAGTGAATTTTCTGAAAGGTGGTGATCTCCGCTCGAGCGGAAAAAAATAACTCCCAGTACTTTTGCAGGCGAGTGAAATTTTTGAAAGGCCGTGATCTTCACTTGAGTGCAAGAATGGTCGCTTGAGCAGATCTACGCTCGTGTGCAGGAATGGCCGCTCGAGCAAAAAAAAACAACTCCTAGTACTTTTGCAGGCAAGTGAAATTTCTGAAAGGTTGAGATCTCTGCTCTAGCTCAAGAATGGCCGCTTGAGCTGACAAACAACTTCGATTGTAATTTTGTTTTTTGCTTCAGGGACGCTACCCCTTGACCCTGCTCGAGCGTAGGAATGGCTGCTCAAGCGGAAAAAAAAAAACTCACAGTACTTTTGTAGGCGAGTGAAATTTCTTAAAGGTCACGATCTCCGCTCAAGCGCAAGAATGGCTGCTCGAGCGTAGGATTAGCCGCTCGAGCGAAAAAAAACAACTCCCAGTACTTTTGCAGGCGAGTGAAATTTCTGAAAGGTCGCGATCTCTGCTCGAGCGCAAGAATGGCCGCTCGAGCGGATCTACGTTCGAGTGCAGGAATGGCCGTTTGAGCGGAAAAAAACAACTCCTAGTACTTTTGCAGACGAGTGAAATTTCTGAAAGGTCGTGATCTCTGCTCGAGCACAAGAATGGCCGCTCGAGCAGACAAACAACTTTGACTGCAATTTTACTTTTTGCTTCGGGGGCGCTGCCCCACAACCCTGCTCGGGTGTTGCCCCTCAACCCTTCTCGAGTGGAAAAAAACAACTCCCAGTACTCTTGCAGGTGAGTGAAATTTCTGAAAGGTTGCGATCTTCGTTCGAGTGCAAGAATGGCTACTGAGCGGATCTACGCTTGAGCGGAGGAATGGCCGCTCGAGCGAAAAAAATAACTCCCCCGTACTTTTGTAGGCGAGTGAAATTTCTAAAAGGTCGCGATCTCTGCTCGAGCGGACCTATGCTCAAGCGCAGGAATGGCATTTGAGTGGAAAAAAACAACTCCCCGTACTTTTGCAGGAAAGTGAAATTTTTGAAAGGTCACGATCTCCGCTCGAGTGGACAAACCACTTCAACTGCAATTTTTCTTTTTGGTTCGGGGGCGTTGCCCCTCGACCATGCCAGGGCGCTGCCCTGGACCCGCTAAGGGGCACTGCTCCTTAGACCCCCGTGAGCTAACCGGGTAACTCGATCCCCGACATAATCAGTGAAGTGGCAAACATGAAAGAATAGACATCACAAACTTCTCTGCAAGACACAATTCGGGTTGGATTCGCATCTAAAACTCATAGCCTCACTGAAATAAAAGATCGAATACAATTACAACTAAAAAGAGTTTTGTCAAACAGGATTGCCAAGAATAAAAACCTAACATAACCAAAATTTATTTACAAGAACGAAGAAAGAATAACTTAACTGCTTTCTTCAGGTCATCCACACTGACTTTTTCACGTCCTTTTAAAGCAACTAAGCATTTGGCAACACGGGCATTATATAACTCAGCTCTGTGTCCCTGTCATGAACAGATGTATGCAAAAATTTAACATCAGGAGTATCTTTTCAATAATATTATCAGATAGTATTATACTGCATCCATTAGTACAATCTCAGATAAATTAAATGGTATGCAATAAGGCATATGGTCTAACAATAAATGTCAAAGTTATAATGGTGGGTGGTCTTCAATCTCTATTATATGTAACAATAACATATACCTAAATATTGTCTGTTTCTTTAATTAGCAGATGTCTTTATTTTGCAATATTATAAACACAAGATATTTGTGAATCAAATAAATAGATAGAAGCCATATAAACTTTTTGTTAGGTTTTTATTCTTCGCAATCCTGCTTGACAAAGCTCCTTTCAGTTGTAATTGTATTCGATCTTTCATTTCAGTGAGGCTATGAGTTTTAGATGCGAATCCAACCCGAATTGTGTCTTGCAGAGAAGTTTGTGATGTCTATTCTTTCATGTTTGCCACTTCACTGATTATGTCGGGGATCGAGTTACCCGGTTAGCTCACGGGGGTCTAAGGAGCAGTGCCCCTTAGCGGGTCCAGGGCAGCGCCCTGGCATGGTCGAGGGGCAACGCCCCCGAACCAAAAAGAAAAATTGCAGTTGAAGTGGTTTGTCCACTCAAGCGGAGATCGTGACCTTTCAGAAATTTCACTTTCCTGCAAAAGTACGGGGAGTTGTTTTTTTCCACTCAAATGCCATTCCTGCGCTTGAGCATAGGTCCGCTCGAGCAGAGATCGCGACCTTTTAGAAATTTCACTCGCCTGCAAAAGTACTGGGAGTTGTTTTTTTCCACTCGAGCGGGGTTGAGAGGCAGTGCCCCCGAAGTAAAAAAGAAAAATTACAGTCGAAGTTGTTTGTCCGCTCGAACGGCCATTCTTGTGCTCGAACAGAGATTGCGACCTTTCAGAAATTTCACTCGCCTGCAAAAGCACTAGGAGTTGTTTTTTTCCGCTCGAGTGGCCATTCTTGCGCTCGAGCGGAGATCGAGACCTTTCAGAAATTTCACTCGCTTGCAAAAGTACTGGGAGTTTTTTTTTTTCCGCTCGAGCAGCCATTCCTGCGCTCGAGCGTAGATCCACTCGAGCGTCCATTCTTGTGCTCGAGCGAAGATTGTGACCTTTCAGAAATTTCACTCACCAGCAAAAGTACTGGAAGTTATTTTTTCTGTTCAAGCGGTCATTCCTGCGCTCGAGCAGGGTCGAGGGGCAGCGCCCCCGAAGTAAAAAGCAAAAATGCAGTTGAAGTTACTTGTCCGCTCGAATGGCCGTTTGTGCGCTCGAGCGAAGAATGTTTGGTTCAAGAAATTTGACTTGGCTGCAAAAGTACTGGGAGTTAGGATTTTATGCTCGAGTGAAATTTCCTGTGCTTGAGTGAGTTTTGCTCCAGCGGTCATTCCTGCACTCGAGCGAAGAACGCGATTCAGTTTTCTATAAATATGTGTTTCAGTCAGATTTTAGGGTGCGGTTTCTAGATCTTCTTTGAAGGTTCTAGGGTTTTCCTCTGGGGCTATTTTGCTAGTTTTGTTTGATGTTTAATTGAGTATTTAACTCATGGTTTAAGAAGTATACATCAAAGGATTGTTTGTTTATTCTATACAAAAGAGAGAGTTGTTCCTCGGTGGATTCCGTGGAATTTGGGCCTGAAGCTTTGGTGGATTCTAGAGTGGCTCATCGTCGTGGATTCGACATCGATGTTGTGGATTCAATGTTGGGTAAGACGATTCTGAGATGAAGACCGTAGTGGAAGAGGCATATAAGGGTCGATTCAATTCAAGCGTAGTGTAGACACCCCATTTTTGACCGACCTTAAGACTCAGACGTCACCGATTGAGCGCTGGGTGATGTTGCATATTGTGCTCGTTCTGAGGTTTCAAAGTTTCGGCTGCGAGCCTTGCCTCCGGACTTCGGGGCTCTTGCGTGCTTTGCCTCGATTCACGAACCAGGCTCAGTTTTCTCTGTTTCTCTTCCAGAAGGGAGAGAGAGGTCTCGTAGATCATCTCTCAGTGGCCGTAGGCTACGTTTCGCGGTCGTAGGCCATTTTCATTTTTCCCGTTTGGAAGTCCGGTTTCCGATTTTTCGGAGTCGTTGGCCATGTGCCTCGGTTCGGGACCACTTAACCCCCACCGTTTGCTCCGGATTTTTGGTATGCATCTTATTTACTCCCTTTTGAAGGACACTACGTCCAAAAAACCAACTTCGTGTCGACACCCACTTCCGGTGCCTACCAATCAGTTCTCGAGGCCTCGGCTGCGCGTTTCGCGCCTCCGAACCTCCATTTTGCATCGGTTTGAGTTCATTTTGGCAGGACCTCTGTTCATTGTTAGGAAGGTCGTAGGAAGGGTGGGAGCCAGCAATTGTTCTAACGACCATGTTTTATTCCTCCATCGCCCTCCGTCGTCCGTTTTTCCCACTTGAAAGCCAATGTTGACCACCTAAGCCACTTTTTCTTGCCCAAACAACATATTTGTGTTGTACACACCTGGGAGGCCACCAATATCATATGAGCCGGCCAGTAATTCGTGGTGATGACCTTTTGACCCTCTAAAGAGTGGCCTTTTCTCTCCCTGGTTATCTCTCTAGTTTTTGACCATATGGTGTTGTGGCACACATGAGAGCCTTTTTTGCATGGCCGGCAGATTACCTTCATTGACCCTTTTACCTTGCCTGACGCCCAAACCCTGAGAAAAAAAAAACAGCCGGCCATACTTCTCTCGCAGGTAACTTTACAAAAATGCCTCTGTTCTCCCCCAGATTTTGTATCCGGGGGGGCCACTTTTGGGAGGAAATTTGAATTCCATCCCCCATTTTTTTCCCCTCTTTGCCTATATATCCAGCCTCAGCTCCCATTTGAGGGGTTAGAATCTTGTCTAAGCCTCCTACATTGATCTCTCTCTCTCTACACCCAACCCTTAAAACCCCTCAAATCCCACACCCTTTACTACACCACATAGCCCCACACCACCACCATTTCCAACACTTGAGCTGGTTTTCCAGAGCTTAGGAGCACCTTTTCTCAACCAAGAGCTGCTGAAGCTTGGTCTACAAGGGTGAGTCTTCATTCTCCTTTTGTGCTTTATTTTGTCTATATCAAACCATACTTGCTTACATTTTGGGCTCTGACCCTA